AGCCTCTTCACTCTTCCTTTTCAGACCTTTCTTCTCCTTTACTCCGTTAAGTGCATTCATATACTTATCCTTATCCGACTGACTGGATTTTGGACAAGAAGCCACTGCCCCTTTCTTATGTGCTATATGCTGCTCCAGTCTGTGAATTCCACCGGAAATCTCCTTAGAACATAGCTTACACTTGATTTTGTCTGGATTCTGAGGATCATACAAGCTGCCATACTCCCATCCAACATCGGTGGAATTGCGCTTAAGAGCAGGTGAGGTTTCAGGTGGTGGATCAGCCATAACGTCCCAATCAAGCTAATAAAGAGCAGGTGAGGTTTCAGGTGGTGGTTATAAAGTTTAAGTTAGAAGAAGAAAGGTTTTGAGAACAGAACCGTAACCAATAAACATTGGTTCTATGTTAGAGTTTTTAGGGTCTAAGTTAGAAGAAGGTTGTTAGAATCACTAAAGGAAAGAGTTTGAGAGGTTGATAGTTTTTAAATTAGAGGTTTAAAGATTCAGGGGATTGAGAGTTTGAAAGATAGTTTGAAAGATAATTTGAGAGATTCTTACCTCGAGAACAAGAAGATTGATGTCGTAGATGATGTGGGAGCTTGATTTGTTGTAGATGTCAGAGATTGCTGTCGATCACGCCTGAATTCCTGCTGAGTTCATCTGAAATCTGGATTAAGCTTGTGTATTTGATCGTAATTAGGGTTTAGTTTTTCATAAAATCTGTGTTAAGTGTTTCAAAAGGGGAAATCCCGAGTTCAAGAAGAAAGAAGTGTCGTCGTTTTGCAAAAGAGAATGAAAAAAAATGTGGGCCGAACCAGAAGTCCAAATTTTTTGGGAAATATGCGGCCGATTTTTTTTTTTTATTGGGCCAATTTTTAACGAAATTGGGCCGATTTTTTTTCTAGGCGGATTTAGGTGTTAGTTCCGCGGTTCACCGCCTAGCCCAGCCGACCAGGAGAAAATCGCGGCGGTGCTCCTCCGCCGAACGCCTAAGCGGCCGAGTTTTTGAGCAGGAATTATAGTTATGATTGGTAATAAATAAGGATGAGCATGGATTGGATGTCTTGTAATGTCAGTATATATCCAAATGTAAAATACTAGTTTCACTGTTTTTTTATTTTTTTACAATAAATCTATTTAATATTTAATTTAAAACAATCTAACCAATTATAAAAAACTGCAAAATAGAATCAGTCATAAACTATTAATTATATTTAAAATTTCACTGAAATATAAAAATACTTATACTGTAAAACAAACTAAAAACTTTAAAATATTCAATATTAAGAAACAATAAGAGTATTACATAGATCTAAATCCCTTAATATTAAGGGATATCCAGATTTGATCTGAATCGTTTAATTAGAAATTGGTAAAATAATTTTATAATTTTACAAAAAATAAATAATTAAATTAAATATTAAACAAAAAGTAAAACTAAATAGAAAGTATAATTAATGATTTTACAATCATTTGAGAACATGTGTTATGCATATTCAAAAAAATCGTCTCAACCTTAAACCATATATTTTTTCTCTTATTTATTATCTGAGAAAACTTTAAACCATCTCTTTCAATAACTTATTGCATCGACACGTTTCTTCCGCTCCTCTGATTGATAATGAGACGAACATTTAAATCTTAATCTTTAACCGAGATTACCAACCAAAGCAAATTTATTTAGCACTTTTTTTTTTCTGATACATTCATTAGACGGTAAATAAATAAAGGGAATAACGAAAAGACTTTTATTATATTTATCAAAATTTGTTTGGAATTTAAAGAATAGATAGTTGTATATATATAAAAAAAAAAAAAAGAAAAAAAAAAAAGATACATCTTGGTCACGTGCTGATACGTTAACCTGAGATGTAAAATGACAAAAATGCAAATCTCTAAAGACACTTGAATCTTAATTCTTAAACCGAGATTAACTACCAAAACAAAATTGATTTAGCACTTTCCTTCTGATACATCCTCATTAGACAGTAAATAATAAATAACGAAAAGACCTTTATTATTAGGCCTATTTATTATATTAATCAAATTTGTTTGGAATTTAAAGAATAGATACAACTTGGTGACGTGCAGATTCACGTGCTGAGACGTTAACTTAGATGTAAAATGACAAAAAAAATGCAAATCTCTAAAGAAAAAGCTAGCCACAAATATGATCTGTCACGTTCACATGTGGTGCTGTGGCGTGAATGTCAAGTGAAACTCATCTTGCCATGTAGTTTGATTAGCTAATTACCTTTTGATGTTTTATTTTTTACGTTACAAAAAGGATCATTCATTTTACAAAAAATATCATTTTAAAATTATATGTTTTCTTTATCTTATATATATAAAAAAGACAAATTCTCTCTATATGAGTGCTACATCAGCATTTGAAAGTTAATATAGAAATGATATATATCATATTTTTAATTTAAAGTTATTATTTTAAAGAAAATTAATTACTAAATTTGAATATTAAGTTTTAAACCGTTCAAAAATAAAATTACTTTTTAACTAAATGATTCTTAAATAACATTTATGTAAATATTAAATTTTAAATTACTTAAAGAAAATGAAAAGTTTTTTTTTACTTGATTCTTAAAAAAATTTTATGTAAATATTAAACAAAAATTTATGAAATAATTAATTGAAAATAATGATAGTTATTTTTGAAATAAATTAATTAAGAAATTTTAATTTTCAGTATTAAACGAATCAAAGAAAATGAAATTATTTTTTAACTTATAAATAGCAATTATGTAAATGTTAAATAAAAATTATATTATTATTAGTTAAAAATATTGATGAATATTTGTTTGTAGAAATTTTGATTTTTAATGATATTATATTTTAAATTGATTAATTTATAATAATATACTAATACATAATAAATGATGATTATATTTTTTGATGAAAATATAAAAATATATAAATTCGAAATAGATGAGAAAAAAACATGTACGTGGGTATTCACCTAGTTTTTTTTTTTTTTTTGTCAACAGTCTAGATACCTATAACGATTTGACAAACCAAACCGGAGGTACCGAGTTTACATAATTAACATCACAAGGATAGATCCGAGCATTTCTTGCTAGGTTATCTGCCTCCCTATTCTTCGCGCGTGGAATATGTGATAGTGAAAAGAAACTAAACCGCTCCTTGATCTTCACGATTTCCTCCAAGTGTATAGCAAAAGCTGGCCATTCGGCGGGGTCAGACACCATCTGCACCAAATCCGAACAGTCTGTTGCAAAAGCGACATCTGTCTTCTGATTCTCGATCATGCAAAGCATGGCCCAAATTAGGGCTTCCATCTCTGCATGCAGAGGTGATAGACTCCGTCTGACATTTCGTGCTCCCATTATTCTGTCCTTAACCCTGTCCTGGAAATAATACCATCCCAATCCCGATGATAAATCTGTTGCCTTCCAAGAGGCATCGATAAAACACCACCAACCCTCATATATCATTGGTTGTGACATCAAAATGTTCCTATTGTCTTGTATCCCTAAATCTTGCTCATTCGTTTGAGCCTCTGTCCATAGTACCGCCTCAATTTCTGCCTTTTTTAAAGTAATCCTTGGGTCCACATCGATATTCGAATAAACTTTCTCATTTCTTGCTTTCCATATATACCACGCAATCCATGGAAATTGAGAATTGTTAGAATTCTTTGATATGATATCCCGATTTAACCGTATATCTACCAGATTTGGTAAAACGCCAGCCTAGTGAATCCTGGCTGTAGGTCCTGCTAATAGGTATTCCTCGAATAATTTCCACATCCGCAGGTTCAATAATTGCATTTAGCAAACCCATATTCCAAGTATTTGTCATTAGATCAATCAGGTGATTTACCATTAGATTCGGGTAATAGTTAAAACCCTTACAAGTGGCTGATCTCGGGCGGGATTCGGGTATTCACCTAGTATATATAAAAAAGTGAACCTTCTCCCACAACTCGTCACATCAGCATTCCAGCGAACAATAAGTGTCCATTTAAAAAATAAATTTAATGATATTTATTCCAATTTTTCAATTTATTAAATATATATTCTAAATGAGAAATTTTATCAGTCTTTTTTTCACAACACATCTACAATTTCAATCATATATTTTCATATTCTTCGTATTTTCAACTTTTTTATCGATGAAAATATAGGTTCAAAAGACGTTTTCAATTTTTTAGTTTTGGTGTTCTGCTAGAAAAGTATAATATCGCTAGAAGAAAAAACAAATTAAATTTGATTTTTTTGATATTGAGGCTTCCTCTAAAAATATGTGAAGCCGGTTTGAAGAGATTGCGAGAAACAGCACCTAAAAGTTTAAGAGTTCTGATAGTTCAGGGTTTAAAATAACTTTTCTTTTATTTTCTTTTTAACATAATATTCATAACTAATAATTACATTGAAATTAAGGCTTTCTACATTCCTAATAAAAAAAAATAAACAATATTTCTAATTCTTTGGTATTCATCTAGGACTTTTTAATATTTTTTTGTACTAATTTGATATTTTTTCTTCTGGCTTATTCATATCATAAATACTTTTTTCAAAGCTCGTCTTATGAAAAAATGTAAAGATATATCGTTCTCTTTATTTAAAGATTTTATGATTTTTATAGGTCAACTAGGATATTATTATAACTGCATTTTATTGTGAAACATAAAGTATGAGTGGTTCTTACAGAATCATGGTAATTATGCATGTTATAAACACGAGAATATTTTTTGTTTGATAAAGATTTTATTTTAAAAAATATAATACCAAACAATTAAAAAAATTATCATATTCTTATAATTAACTATGTGTATATCTTAACACATATATTTTAAATATATTATATGAAATAAACCTAGTTTAATTAAAACTAGATAAAAGACAATTGCATAGAAGCAAGAAAATAATATTCACAAACCGAAGCTTAGTTACAAAACAAACCCAAAACCAAACAAAATCCGGAATATTCGTCCCTTCGGGGACATCCGATAAAATCCGGAATATTCCAAGTAGGATCCAAAGTATACTGGCAATTGTTAGGCATCGCCCCAAAATTTAGTAATAAAGAATAGAAGATCAAAAGAATAAAGACAATCAAAATTATTTAAACTGCAATGAACCAAAGAATAAAACAAAAAAAGAGAGAGAGACAAGTTCTATATCATTTGCAAGCCAAAAAACAAGAGGAAAAAAAGTTCCAATTCTTCAACTTTTGATCTGCAAGTTACTCATCTGACCTTCTATATGATCTTCATTATTCTGTGTTCTGAGATTCAGCCATGGATGTTGAAGGCACTGTTGAGCAGTAGGTCGTTTCTCAGGTGCAAAATCAAGAATCGGGCAAAGAAAATCCGCAAATTCCCGTGCTTCTGCTTGAGGAAGCTTGTATTTATCGATGAGTAAACGGTCGAGTGGCCAATATTTTAATCTCCGGATCCTCTTCAAGTCACCATGTCTGTCAAAGTAATCCTTTGATCTCGCACCTCCAATGGCAATCTAATCAAATCACAAGTATCAAAGAGGCTATAACCGAACAATAAAGAGACTTAAAACTAAAGTGTTTTTAAGGTACCTTCCGAGGAATTTTTCCTAAGAGTTCCATCATAAGAGCAAGGTGGTCCTGAAGTCAAACAGAGAAGAAGCATGTATATTAGGGAAAAGGCAAAAAAGAAAACTATTCGGTTATAATCGATTTGGAATATCTTGAAAGCAATCTTTACCTCGTCTTCTCCGTAACCATTTCCATCTTTTGGAGCGAAAAGCATATCGCCTGTGGCGAGCTCAAAAGCGGTGCAAGCGAAAGACCACATATCAACAGAGAAAGTGTAGCCTGACTGAAGTATTACTTCAGGAGCTCTGTACTGTCTTGTTTGTATTTCTTCTGCAAATTTCTGATCATCCCAACAAGCGTTCCCAAAGTCTACAACTTTGCATCTCACATCAATCCCATCCAAATCTCTCTTGGTCTTTGTCAGTGTTTCACTTAAACCTATTATGGAAACTCTTCTTCCTGATATTTTAGCAACCGCTCTTCTTGCTCTCCTCTTCAACTTCTTCTCAATCAGATTCATGGTTGGTGCACCGTTTTGGTTTCCCTCAGGCTTTTCTAGTATTGGTGTTAGTTTGGATCTGATGGGATCCTTGGCAGGGTCAATGCTGGAGCAAAGAAGAATGTTTTCTGGTTTTAGGTCGGAGTGAATCATACCGAGTTCACGATGCAAATAGTCTAGACCGGTCAGTATACATTTGCATATCTCCCGCACTTTATCCAACTCCATCCCTTTATAACAGTTATATTTGATTAAACGGAGCAAACTGTCGCCAAGAAACTCGAGCACCATGCATAAATGCTGCCCGTTGGGACCTGCGTGTTTGAAATCATCGATAAGACGAACAACACATTTGGTATTTGTAGGATCCCCATCAGCAGCAGCTTGAAGAAATTCGATCTCGTGAAGTGCAGCTTGAGCAAATTGTTGGGCGCTCTTCTGAATCTTCAAAGCAACATAGTTCTGCAGAAACACACAGTTATTATACAAGCCCAAATGTGAGTAGAAAAAAAAAACAATAACTAATTGAAACAAGAGCCAAAAAAGGAGGATGCCTATGACAAGGAGCTTGTAGAATTTAATTTCAATCCACTTTTTATGTGAAATAAGGAATCATTAATCTATAGACATGAACATGGACATTCCTACATTCTAAGCAAAACATCAGAATTATTTTCTCACATTTAAAGAGAACCTAAGAGAGTAAAAATGTCTCTCTGTTTCAGAGAAAGTAAAAGAACTCCTAAGTTAGAGCTTTGAAGAGAACAAAACATTAAATTAAGCCTATAGTTGATGAAACATTCATAAAGTCACGATGGCATTTAAGGAACAACGCATTTATTTCAAATACGCAGCTCTAGTTTCATCCTTAAACAAACTGCTATAGTTGGTTAACTACAGAGTACAGTGTCAAAATCTAGAACCTTGATCCACTTTCTTTCCGAAAGATAAGTCAAAAGAAGAGGTTGGTAGACGCCAAGATCTTGCACCAAAACAGATCAGAGCCAAGATAAAAGGAATTCGAGAAGACTAATGTATACATGCTTTTAATAAGGGAAGAAACAAATCTACGAAATCAAATTCTGCATTAAAAGATCTAATGGGCATAGTACAACGAGATTGTGAGTATTCTATAAGGAGAGAGATGCTTACAGAGGTGCGAGTATCATATGCAAGCCAAACGGTGGAGAACTGGCCCCAACCAAGCTTTCTCTGAGCAATGTAACGGCCACCGGAAAACTGGTCTCCGATTCTAACGGCGTGATATCCACCTTTACGGTAAGCATCGATACCCTCATCTTCATCTGATCCCGATGAGGATGAACATGACATATCTTGTTTTCCTGTCGGAATTCCACCGCCTGATCCTTATGTGGATTTTGAATTTCAAAGTTTGGATCTTTGAATAAAAGAGCTTCCTTTTCTTTAATTTCTCGAACAAAGAGAGAGAGAAAGAGAGAGGAATAGCACTCAGATTGCGTTATGACCTCGAAACGTAAGACTCTCTCCACTTTTTGCTCTTCTTGTCCTTTTTTTTATTGATGGGTGCTTCAAACTTTTTCCATTTTAAAGTTGTCCAATTCTCCATTTTACCCTTTTCTCATGGTGTTGTAATGTTTTGGCTCTGGTTCAGGTATCTCCTTTTCTCCAAAAGCTCTTTGCTTTCAACAGATTTTCAAAAAGACACAAAAGAACCATCATCTTTATTTATCTCGCTGCTTCCCAGTGTAGAGCCTTCTCTGTATTTGTTGCAGATGCACTATCAAGACGACAAGACCCAAAGTTCGAGCCCAACAAGCATATAAGGATGGCAATGCCTCTAGTTTCAACTTTCGATTATGTCCTGCAATAAGGTATTTAAGTGGATCGCCGTTTTCTGGTTAAGAGAAAACATCAGTGAACTCCACATAGAAAAATCAGGGACAATACCCTTCTTCACCATTCGTGAGAAAGTCAACCAAGCATTCTGAAAATCACCCTTCACGCACAATTCTTCGAGCAACGGATTGTAGCTTTCTCCATCAGGTACGCAACCTCTTTCAGCCATGTCTTCCACAAACTTGATGCCACTCATGACTCTATCTTGCTTACAAAACCCGATAACCACAGCATTGAATGTTGCGGATCGAGGCAAACAGCCTCTGGTCACCATATCGTTTATAAGCTCAAGTGTTTCTTCCATGTAGCCTTCTTGGCAATATCTATGAATCAGGCAATGGGATACTATAACATTAGGGACTCCTCCTTCTTCAATCATTTGTTCATACGCTGTCTTTACATCATCCACGCCGCCTTGCTCACATAAATTTATCAACTTAAAGCTTCTGTCAACAGCCCTTGGAAACAATTTCTCCATCTTTAACAGGAATTCCAGAGCTTCCTCCCAACGGTTTTCCTTGTAAAAGCCATAGATAACACTGTTGTATGGATCAATTCTGGCCCCATGAACGTTTTCGCTGTCCTCCATTAGTTCTAATATCTTTAAACTATCGTCAACCCTCCCTCCTACTGATAGACCTTTTATCAACGTGTTAAACGTAGCAAAGTCCCATCTAACCGCATCTGTCTTCATGTCGTTGAGAGTGTCCAGAGCTGAATCCAACATTCCAACATCACAAAATCCAGCAATCAACAAATTGTATGTTTCCACATTAGGCAAGTATCCCTTTCTCTCCATCTCTTTGAAGAAGCGTTGAGCTACTCTCACTTTCCCTAGCGCACAATACCCCTTCACCAAGGTGTTACAAGCTACAATGTCGACTTTACCTCCTTTGCTTTCCACTCTCTCTAGAACCTCGAGTGCCTCAGATACACGTCCTTCATTGCAGAGAACATCCATCACCTTAGTTACCGTGACAACGTCGGGAACAAGACCCAAACTGAAGCATTTCTCCAGAAGCACCAACGACTGAACCAACTTCTGCTCGTTGCAGTAAGCAGATATCAAGATGTTGAAAGTTACATCATTTGGTTCCTTCATTTCGCTCATCAAACTCCTGGCTCTCCCAACTTTCTCGTTCTTACAAAGAGCATAAAGCAATGTGTTATATATCACAGTGTTTGGAGTAACACCACGTGTCTTCATGATCTGAAGGAGCTTGAAACCATCGCCAATCCTATTCGTCAAGCAAAGACCTTTCATCAAAATCCCATATGTGTACTCATCACCTTGGATCCCACTAGCCATCATCTTCCTCCTGAAAAACTCTCTGGCTATGTCGATGTCTTCCTTTACCAGAACGTCAAGAATCGAATTGAAAACTTTCAGAGATGGTTTGATCCCAAATTTCGAAACAAGATCAACGACACTGATCACCTGTTTGGTCAATTTAGCGCGACCAAAGCCTCTGACGATAGTTATGAAGATGGCATCATCCGGAGGCAAACCAATCGATCCGGGCATTTCATCGAGCAGTTGGTAGACAGTTTCGAAACGGCGGAAAACACAAAGCTTATGAAACAGAGCACGGTAAGTGGAACGAGAATGGATAAACCCAGGGAAAGTCGAGGCCCATTGAAACGTTTCTAGAGCTCCTGAAGGTGATTTCTGGTCTAGAATGAGACGGACGATATGGTCATCGCTAGGCACAGAAAGAGAAGAAGAAGACGACGATGATGATAATGAAGAAGATGAGCAGAAACAACGCAGTTGAAGCCATAATCTCGTCACTGGCACGTACCGAGAAGATGTCGAAAGATTCAAGATTTTAAGCATCAGGAACACGAAGCTCTCACAACTTGGGTTCGATTTTCTGATGAGACGAAACCCAAGTCAATAGATTCAATTAATATCCATCGAGATTGGGTTCAGGGAGATCTTAAGCTGAGTTTGCGACTCAACAACCCGTCACTGAAAAAAGCACTGAAAAAAGGCACTTTTCATTGGAACTGGTACGCAAGTTTTTTAATTTCTTAAAACGAGAAGGAGACCCGCTAAAAACTTTTTTTTTGCTTAAATAAATTTAACACTCATTCAAGAAAAAAAACTGGTTGTGTGCTTCCTTTTTAATGGGTCTAATTGATAACATATAAACGACAGTTGCCAAGGACGGTTGAAAAAATACTACCAATCAGCAACATCGATCGGAGAAAGCGTTTAAAACTATGGTTGTAATTAACATTTAAAACGGGCGGTTGAAAGAAGATTCAGGCAGTTGAAAGTTAATTTTCGAGCAGTTACAAATTGTAAAAACGTGGGCGTTTAGAGCAAACGAACGGTTATAGTCAGAGCCTTTTTTAATAATAAAATTTTTGGTTTGATATTAATTTTTAATTAGAAACTAGTAAAATTATTTATGTTTTTTGTATGTATATGTATGTGTTAGTTTTTTTTTGTTATTTCATTCAATCCAATTTACTCGGCAAAACAAAAAAGAACTTTTTAATAAGACAATGGATATGCATTTTAAAGTTATTAAAAACAATTATCATCACTGATATAAAAAAAACCTAAAATTAATTACTTGTAACTTCTTTAAAAAAAGAATTGTGCATGCATTTATGTCCATCGGCAAAAAAAAAAAGGTTGTGCATTTCATATTTATCAACAACTTTGTCATAATAACTATGTGTTATTGTATCATTTTATAAATAACTTCTAAAAAACATTGTACTAATAATGTTATACATTTACACTATTCAACCGCTATAATGCTACCAATTAAGCTTAATTTTCAACTATTTTCTGTTATAAAACCATCTTTTCGAACCGTTATCTCTAATCACTTTTTGTTTTTTAATTGTTTCAGCTACAAACGCTCAAAATTCTTTAACCGCCTTGTTTAAACAGAATCACCAATCGAAAATATCTTTGGTGTCTCAAGCTCAAACAGTAGTTAGAATTTTTTTTCTTCTTTTTTTACAAGATAAATTGAATAAAATAACTCTAAAAACTAAATTTTATGTTATATATATTTCTATTTGGAAGGGAACAACTATAGCTTTTATTAAAGAGAATTAAGATTAATTAAAAAGATTAATTGAAATTAACTGGATTATCGCTGTCGATCACTTTTTTTGAGCCGGTCATTATCGATTTCAGTCCACGGGCGACTAAAAAAATTTATATCAGTGAATGGATTTGGAATTTCATATCGGCGACTGGATTAAGAGATTTGAGTTTAGGATTATGTTGTTGATTGTGATTGGGTTTACATCGCTCATTTGCGTGAGCCGATCATAGTTCATTTAGATTGAGATATTTCATTGATTTCACATCTATCATCATCTTGGTCATTATGTTTCTCCAATCTAAATTAAGAGTTTTTCAGAATCAGTCGTTGGGAATTTTTCAGGTACCTTCTCTTGATTATTAGTTTTCAATGATCACAGAATCTCTATGTTTTCAAAGAGAAATATTGAGATGTGTGATTATGCAGAGTTATTTAGGAACTCAATTGGTTTTCATGTGTCATTGAATTGGGCTAAGTACATGTCGATTTCAGGCATGATATCATCACCTTCAAATATACAGAAGATTGTTTGTTATCTGTAGATGAGAGCCGACAAGGACAAGCTGCTACTTTTGAAGACGACATTGTGATACACTGCAATTATTTGCAGCAGTTTAGGAAACGTTCCTACATATTTAGGAAACGTTCCTAAATATTGTACGATCATCCAAAAACTTAAAAAATATTCAAGTGAACATAAAAATAATTTGCAACAACAAACATTTCTAAGAATTCAAGAGTATTTTGATAACATAGATAACAACACAAACATCTCAATTCATTCTAAAATGTGTTATTGGAACTTATGTATCTATTTATACAACAAATGAAATTTGGAAAGTCATCATATATAGTCAGGAAGACATTCTTAAATATTTAAAGAGAAAATTACCTAGAATAACCTACTTTTTTGGAAATAGCTATAACAACCCATCAAATATATTATTACTCACGTAACCCATTAATTCTTTAAATAAATTTATAATTCCAAAATTACCCTTTCTATTTTTATAATTTTGTTTTTAGAAACGTTTTTATAAAATAATTATTTTTTAAGTAAATTAATTATTTATTTTTAAACGAAATTCGGTATACCATTAGTTTTTATCCTAATATATGGTTTTAATATATTTTTTTGAATCACAGACTCATATTTTGTCTATGGTTATTTGTAAATTTTTTTTGACAAATTTAAATAGGCAATCTTGTAAACTCATGTTTAGTAGACTTGAAAATCTCATCTAGCAGACTTTAGGCAAGTCTACAGATAGAATCTTCAAATCTGCCAAAAACACAAAGACTTTACGCAAGTCTATCAAATATATATAGATCTAACGTAAGTCAGTTGGCTTGAATTTTGAAGTCTGTCGAAAAATTGTAAACTTCAAGTAAGTAAATCGAAAGTAAATCTGCAAGATAGGTTTTTGAAGTCTGCCAAAAATTTATAAACTTCATGAAAGTCTGCCGAATGTTTGCATATTTGTAATCACTCTGCGTTATCACATTTTAAAGTCTACCAAAATTTGTAGACTTTACGAAAATCTGCTGAATAATTTTGGATTAAATATAAGTCTATAGAATTGAGTATTGAAGTCTATCAAAATTTTATAGACTTCAAGAGTGTCTGCCGAATATACGCAGACTTCACGAGTGTTTCCCGAATATACACAGACTTAATATGAGTCTGCATAAGTGGCTCTTAAAGTCTGCAAAAAACTAATAGACTTTATGCAAGTCTAGACATAGTAGACTTTACATTATTTCATTTTTTAAAATAGATAAGTTTACTTTTAAAAAAATAATTGATTTGTATTTAATATTTGTTTTATTATTGCTGATTTGATTTCCTTAAATAGAATTTTCGCTTTTAAAACTTTCCTTAAATATGTTTTCTAATTATTTTACTTTGGTTAAAAATAAATTTATTAGGGGTAATATAGGAAAATATTTTTAAAATTTTTTGAAAAATCTGAGTAGGTTATTTTGGCTATTTCTAATATTTTTAAGGTTATTGTAGCAAATGTTCCTTATTTAAATGATAACTTTTATTTATAGTTATACAACCGCTGAAATTTTGGAAGCCCATCATATACATTTAGAAAGGCATACGGAAAATTAGTTTTACGCACAAAAAACCATACATTAGGGTTGAATTTCAAATTGTTTAAACGTATAAGTATGTTTAACCCAGAAAAATTGTTTAGACATAAGTTTAACATTTACAGAAAGATCAGGTCTAAAAAAGCCAATTTTCCGAAGGCATACATATACAAATTATAACTTTTGTGACTATTATACAAGTACTTAATTTTAGGAAATTATCATTTATAATTAGGAAAAATTATTAACGGGTATATTTCTCTTCTTCTCAATCACACTCCTATATGATTTCATCCGACCATACATACTTCTCCTTCCTATGAGGGAGTGTTCCTTTGAGTTGACCAGAATAAGTATCACCATTTGAGAATTCCTTCTCCAGACCTGAAGAAAGACAAAGTACACTTAAGATCTAAGACCTGAAGAAACAAAAAAATCACATACAAATGTCTTCGGGTTTATAAAAACGATTCAGACATTCCTAAATTTTTACGAATCAATAAACACAGCCCTAGACTAAAATCAGACATGATCTAACACCTAATATCCCATAATCCGGCCATTGGAACCTATGAGAGTTATCAATCCGACGAAGTTTAACCATTTTCTTGATCTCTGACAAAAATTGATACTCAATCCAATGAAAATCGATTACCAATCAGAATAATTTACCCTAATTGATGTGTGATGCTTGTTCTTCCATTCTCATACTGTGATTTTAATCCTATTTGAATGCTTCAGAAAAATCGATGAAGTTTTCTCTGGGAAAATTGAATTAGGTTTTGCAAAGGTTTGAAAAAGAAAATAGAAGAAGCGTGTTTTCTGGGTTTAATAAATGCTATTGTTGTCCCCTTCCAAATGAAGGTTCTTTAAAAAAAAAGTTTGGTTTTTAGGGCTATTTTAAATAATTTCCCTTTTTATAATGATATCCCATTTTGTTATCATGGCCCAATGATTTATATATATATATATATTTGTTTATATATATATATATAGATATATATGTATATGTATGTTCATCTTCAGTTACAAGCCCAAAAAAAAAAATTATCAAACTTATAAGTTTTTCTTGGCAAATCAAATATATTGATATCATAAAGCATTTATCAGATATATAAACATTATCGATACAACCATTAATGCAAATTGAAAAAATAAAATAATTTCGATGAAATGGAGAATAACCATGCTATCTTTTTAAAAGTAGTCTTATAAATTAATAGATACTCTATCATACACATTTTACTGGCTTTCATTGTTGATGAAACTCCAAAATATATTTGGTATTACATTGACTAATAAAATTCAATTAAATAATATTGGTGATGAATCTGAAATTTGTCTTTTCATTAAAATCAAAATACTTGATAATTCTGACAAAGACTTTCTGTGTTCATGTCAGAGATACATTTATTTTGTATGACCAAGAGAAAAAACAAGAAATACTCAGTTCTTTGGAATCCGTTGGTTGTCAAAAAGACAAAGCCTCATCTCTTCTCTCACTCTACTGAGGCCATAACCATTTTTTCGCTTCATACAATCATTAACATCAGAAACGTTTCTCCCTGAATCTCAGTGTGATATCCCAAACTTAGGGTTGAATCTCATAAAAAAAGCCAATCTCTAAAAACCCCTCTATAAAAAAAAGCTCAAATTCACCAAAAGCCAAAAGAAGAAAATAAAAGCCCTAAGTGACATCAGATCGAATGCGATCAGGAGGAAGCAAAGAGTGGATATTCTAATTGCAAGCAAAAAATTTTGAAGAAGAAAATCGTCACATTCAATTTC